AGCTACAACTGCAGTGTCGCATTGTGTGGATTAGCTGTAGCTGCACTTGATCAACTCCCGGAAACACCCTGCTAATTGAACTGTGTGAGCGCCTTGCATGATTTCAATATTTTTTTCCTTACGGAAGGGCTATGATGGCCATGCTGAAAACAGATGAAAAAAGTCCTTTTATTTAACAAATAGTTAATCATTTTTGCAACTAAAAAAACTCCATCCCTTGACTAGGAGTGGAATAACACCCTTCTCAAATTCTGGTCCTTCTTGCCACCAGTTATTTCCATTGCAGAAGGTCTGCAATTACTGTCTCCATCCTCTGTTATGGAGCATGAAGATAAGGCACCAGCATTTCTGCTGCTGATCGCTATCCAGTGATTGCAGCCAGAAAATATAAGTGTGTGATTATTGGGTGTGAACAGAATGAACTTCAACTCTGATGCTGCCAACAACCAATTAGTTTGTTTACATTGTAATGATCCCAGTTTTTGGTAATACTGGATAAGTTGGACCTCAGAATGAAATGTGTAGTTAGTGTGTCTGTTAGACGCTGAAACATTGTCACTCGAGGCTGCAGATTTTTCTTTAACAACAGAACATAAGGGAAGAAGAAAACATATTAAGCAATTTAAATATAAAAGATGGTTAGCAAGATCTAAAACTCACAGCAAAACAAAGTTCAACCTATTTCCTGACACTATCTGTTACAGAGACACAAGTCTGGAGAAATGACACCTCTATCTCAACTCCTTAGTTGCTGCATAACTGATTCCTTACAGTTTCTTCGCTGCGGATTGTGGAAACTATTCAGTGTGTTCTTTCCAACTCTGCTGACGTGAGCTTCTCACAAATCCGAGAAATTTGTACAGCTAATGGAAATTACAGCTGGATTGGGAATAATTGAATAAATCTTTTAGACAGCCATCACAGACAAAAGATCACCTCCTGGATCTTATAATTCTATAACTCCATAACAAAATTACACAATAAACGTAAGTCACTTTAGTGGACCATTTTAAAATTGAGCATCACAACTTTTAATTAGAAACTGAAAAACAGCTAAGGCCCCTCATTTCAGTTGAAGTTCCCCCAGTCCTCTTCGAGCAATAAGTAGGTGACAGTAGGTATGTTTCAGGAACAAGGTAAAGTCTTTGTTATCATCGCAATGAACATACACCTTTACAAAAATGATTCAATTAACACTGTTATCACCAACAGTAGGTACAAACTGTTTTTCACAACCACATTCCTTCAGTGAGGTTGTGCAGCCATTCTGGTAACAGAAATCCTGCTGGACCGTTGAAAGAAAAAGGGAAGAAGAAGCTAAAGTTAAATGTGGAAAAAGATCAGATGGCTTCTGTTATTCTAATCAATGTAATATTTGCAGTTGGTTTCCTCAATATTGAAATATTAAAAATTATATACAATTTAGCAATTGGACAGCAAAGGCCCAAAGAATATAATGGAATAGTAATTTGGTTCAGGGTGCCATCTTGTGGCATTGTTTGGAAAACAGGCCATTTCAACCTCAAGCCTGTCCTATTATTCCATATGATGATGTCAAAATTTTAGAATCATAGAATTCCTACAGTGTGGAAACAGGCGATTCAACCCAACAAGTCCACACCGCCCCTCTGAAGAGCATCCCACCCAGACCCATTCCAAAAATTTCCCGTGTCTAACCCAAACATCCGTGGGCACTATGGGCGATTTAGCATAGCCAATCCACCTACCGTGCACATCTTTGTGACTGTGGGAGGAAACCCACGCAGACACAGGGAGAATGTGCAAACTCTGCACAGGCAGTTGCCTGAGGCCCAAATTGAACCCAGATCCCTAGTGCTGTGAGGCAGCAGTGCTAACCACTGAGCCGCCATGTGAGTTGCAAAATATTCTTGCACAAAATGCTTTTTAGGGCTTTAGCAGTTAAATATGTTTCCCTCGTACTTTTCCTCTCATGATTGTTATTATATTTATTTCTTCTCCTCCTTTTGCCCTCATGTAGCGATTGTAATTAAGTTGGCCAGGTGGACTGCATAGAGTACGGGTTCCCTGATTGGGGTTGTTAATCTGATCCAATCAGGGAGCCTTGGCTGACAGATAAGAACAGGAGTGTCAGAGATTCTGTTCACTCTGAGAGCTGGCTTTGACAGAGCTGGATCAGTGTCAAGGTCTCTCCATGTGTGAATAAAGGGTGACTTGGTGATGGGATACTGGCATCTGTGGAGTTATTTCACCTTAATTGTTTAGTATTTTTTGGGATATATTGCTTGGAGTGGTATGGAATATTTGGGATATATGATAGCATGTCCTGATCTCAATAGAACTACAGAGACTGCAGATTTTAATAGCCATCTCAAAATTAGTATGTTTGCAATTTCTTACCTCACAAGTCATACATTATAGTAAGGAACTGTATTTTTATTTTGTTCCAGAATCCTGATTACAGCAGGTGCCACTCACTAACCAAATCCTTACTGTCAATTAAGGCAGGAATCCTTAGCATAATCTACCCACCAGTCAGTGCTTTGTTGGGATGAACACATTCTACAGAGCAGTCAATAAATTCCAAGGAATCCACCAGTCTATCCATAAGGAATATCACCGAGAGATACCCAGAGTTCTGAACACCAAATCTATTCCGAACTGCGCGAGAGAAAAGCCCTTACATGAAGTGGGACCCAACTCTAGCCCAGTCAGAAAAGGCAGGTGTTGGCCTAGTGATATTATCACGAGACTATTATTTCATAAACCTTCATAAAGTTCTGTGGAGCTGGGTTCAAAACCTGCCATGGCAGATGCCAGGATTTGAATTCATTTAGTATCTGGAATTAGAACTCTAATTCTATGAAACCATCATCAAGAAAACCCCATGGGGTTAACTAATATCCTTTAGAGAAGGAAATCTGCCATCTATTAGTTAGCCTGGTCTATATATGACTCCAGACCCACAGCAATGTGGTTGACATTAACTGCCCTCGGGGCAATTAGGGATGGGCAGTGAATGCTGGGCCAGCCAGTAATGCCCACGTCCTGTGAATGAATTTTAAAAAAGATACAGACCAACCAAATTGCCTCACGATCAGATCACTCCATTTGGTAAATCACAAATTAAATTTGTGCACATACAAACATGCAAATGAGGAAGTAGGCCTTTCAGCCCCTTGAGCCTACTGTACCATTCACTGAGATCATGACCAGTCTGATAACTCTCAACTTCATGTTCCCCACTACCCCTGACAATCATTCACCCTTTTGGTTATCCAACTCTGCCTTAAAAAGTTTCAAAGATGCTGCTCGCACCACCATTTAGGAAGAGAGTTGCAAAGACTCACAACCATCTGTGAGGAAAAAAAACATCTCATCTCTCTTTTAATAGGGTCACCCTTGATTTTTACAGAGTAGCCCCCAGTCCTAGCTTCTCCAACAAAGGGAACTGCCCTCTCTACATCTATTTGGATGCCTTAGCATTTTCTATGTTTCAGCCAAAGCTTCTAAGCTCCAGTGGATACCAGCCCAATCTTTCCTCAACCCACCCAGTCCAGGTATTGTTCTGTTTTACAGCCCATGATCATTTTGCTCAAGTTAATGTGTGTATCTGAGGTCAGATGGTGTCCCCAAAATTGTATGAACAATTGTGTAACATCTTGTATCCTGTTTAAAAATGTGAACTCCTGAACAAGGGTCTGTTCACCCACAGTTCCACAGTGTTGAGGAGGGAAGGATTTCTTCACTGAAACTAAGAAGGTTGTAGAGTAGTCTAATAATTCTGATGTGATAAATGCTGCAAGAATGTTTCAATAGCCAACGACACTTAGTGATTGGATAATCACAAAGAAAGTCAAAGGGCAAGGTAGAAAATAGTTCTTTCTTGAGAAGGTTGTTGTTTATTTATCTAATTGTAGCCAAAGCATCACTAGCAATGGCTTCAATTCCTGATCCAGTTTTGTTACAGCTGGTGTCCCTAAAAATTAATCTTTAGCCCCCTCGCACATCTCCTGTGTTGTCTTCCATCTTTCTCCAAATCTTAAATGCATATTGGAAATAAAAAATAGCTGCCACCACACCCAGATTGAGGTGAGTGGAGTAGGAGTTTTTTTGTTGTTTGAGGATGCAGTCTGTAGTCATGAGTGATATGAGGACATTCAATGGGCAATGGCATTAATCAGGTACAGGCACAGTACTGGGTGATCACAGTACCCTGTATGTGAAATGCATGCAGTATCCAACTGTGTGCAATAAACTATTGGCTATAAATCATCTTGACCATGTCATTGGTCATTACAAATTGATATATTGATCTCTGTGAAGCTGAGGTAATCACTGGTGACCATAGATGTCACCTGAGGGCCACAATTCACAAAGACAATCTGAGATCCCAGCAGCTGTACAAGGGCACAAAGCTGATCTCTTCTCACCTGTAAGTATTTGCAAACATGCTTTTAATAAGCAAAGCTGCCTTTCTCAGGTGATGTGATAGGGAGACAAGGTTTCAGTAATCCTATCCGATTCTGACTGTATTTGCATGGCTTGGCTTTTGTTGCATACATTGAAATAAAGTTGCTATTTCAAAGATCCATGTACAGGCATCGCATAGCTCTCCTTGTCATAGTCCTCCATGTGTGACTGTGGAAGGCTATGGTAATTATTGTCTGTGTGTGATGTCCCAAAGAAGTCTCATACCTGACTTAAAATGTTACCCGTCTCTCTCTTTCTCTACTGATACTGCCAGACCTGCTGAGTTCCTTCAGCAATTTCTATTTTCACTAAAAATAAACCACCATTTAATTGGAACATACTTGCAAAGTTACAAACTAGACTTTCTGTTATTTCATATTTGTACTAGTTAGTTTCCTGGTCTTACTAAGTATGTGTTTTTCTTAATTTTGTTTGCTTTTTGCATGTGGTTTTTGTTGCCCAGCCCTCATTGCCCCAGAGAATGTAGCATTGTAACTATTTTCTGAGTCAAATTGATGTTGAACATAGAATCTCCATCTTTTGTTTAGGAGCTAAGTTCCCCATCAAGTGGACGGCACCAGAAGCCATCAACTATGGTACATTCACCATCAAGTCTGATGTCTGGAGTTTTGGAGTGTTGCTTACAGAAATTGTGACATATGGAAGAATTCCATATCCAGGTACAGTGTTTGAATTTTGGGGCTGATTCGATGCTTTGTTGCTGGATACCTTTTCAAGCATCAATCAAATTACCATCAGTGACACGTCACTTTACCTGCGCAGTAAGAAGTTTCATTTTTTTGTGTGTTTTGTTGTGGCAGATGTGACTGATTCTGTAATTAGTATTTTACAAAGTAGAACAGAAGATTTCATTTCACTATTTTCTTACGTAGTATACACTCATTCAATCCCCACCTGCCTCAGAGGTGTGAACAGGATGATTTAAAAATATATATAGTGTACATTCAGAGGAAGAAAGTCATTGTTGGTCAGTTTCAGCCACAAAGTTAACAATGCTGCCTCAACAAGTGCCCAGATCATCGAATAATTTGGTGCAGAAGAGGCCCTTCCGTCTATCAACTCTGCACCACTAAATCTAAACTAGTCCCACCTTCCAGCACTAGACACATAACCTTGAATGTTTTAACATTCCTCAATCTTTCGGTCTCCCAAAGCAAATTAAAGTAGAGAGGTGCTATTCACAGACACTATGAATGCCAATATGCATCTTTTATTGATAGGACATAACCAGTGGGCTAAGGTGTGATTAGCACGCTCATTTTGAAATTATTATTGCTTAAGTAAAAACATGTGTCACAAACTTGATTGAGTTTTTTGAGGAAGTTACCAAAAGGATTGAGGGCAGAGCGTTAGATGTTGTCTACATGAACTTTAGTAAAGCTTTTGACAAGGTGCTGCATGATAATTAGTAAAGTTAGGTCACATGGGATTCAGGGTGAGCTTGCCAATCGGATACAAAATTGATTGAATGGTAGGAGACAGAGAGTAATGGTGGAGATTTGCTTTTTGGACTGGAGGCCTGTGACCAGCGGGGTTCCACAGGGATCGGTTCTGGGTCCTCTTTTGTTTGTCAATCATATAAATGACTTGGATGAGAATATAGAAGGCTTGTTTGGTAAGTTTGCAGACGACACCACAATTGGTGGCATAGTAGTCAGTGATGAAGGTTTTCGAAGACCAAATGGGTCAATGGACTGAGAAATGGCAGATGGAGTTCAAACTGAATAAATGCAAAGCATTGCATTTTGGTACAACAAACCATGGTAGGACTTATACAATTAATGCTATGGCCCTGTGTAGTGTTGTAGAACTTGGGACCTAGGAGTTCAGGCACATAAGTCTTTGAAGTTTATTCACATATAGACAAGGTGATTAAAAAGGCATTTGGCATGCTTGCCTTTGTTGCTGAGACCTTTGAGTATAGGAGTTGGGAAGTCATGTTGAGGACATGTACAGAACATTGGTGAGGCCTATTCTGGAATACTGTGTCCAGTTCTGGTTGCCCTGTTATAGGAAGAATATTATTAAGCTAGAGAGGGTTCAGAAGAGATTTACCAGGATGTTACCAGGTATGGAAGATTTGAATTATAACGAATGGCTGGATAGGCTGGGACTTTTTTCACTGGAGCGTAGCAGGTTGAGAGGTGACCTTATTGACGTTTATAAAATCATGAGAAGTATAGATAGGGTTAATGGTAGGTGTCTTCCCCTAGGGATTTCAAGACAAGAGGGATATTTTTAAGGTGAGGGGAGGGAGATTTTAAAAAAGACATGAAGGTCAATTTTTTTTTTTTACTCGGAAGGTTGTTCACGTGTGGAATGAATTCCCGAGGAAGTGATGGGTGTGGGCACAGTTACGACATTTAGATAAGTAAATGAATAGGAAAAGTTGGAGGGTTGTGGCCAGGAGCAGGCAGATGGGACTAGATTAGTTTGGGATTACATTCAGCATGGACTGGTTGGACCAAAGGGTCTGTTTCTATGCTATATGACTCTATAAACCTTCAGTTCTCATTCTGTCACATTGTTTAACTGCAATTTCAAACGCATTGTAACAAAAATGGATAATTGATTTAACAGACCTTAACTATTTGATTGTTTTTCTCAAATATTTTGGTTACTAAACTTCACTCTGCAGTTTAACTTTTGATCATAGTGAATGTTAATATATTTTTGTGCCTCGTGCCCCAGGACCTCAGTGATCATTCAGCATGTGCTGAATTTGGCAGGGGAGTTATTTTGATGCAGCTATTCACAATTTCACTTTCCGTCTCTGGATTTTTCTGACCTATAATGACTTATTTGTTTTCTCTTGCAATTAGTAAATCTTCACTGCTTTCTGTTGTTCCCTATAGGTATGACCAACCCTGAAGTCATTCAGAATTTGGAACGTGGTTACCGAATGCCGGCCCCTGAAAACTGCACCGAAGAACTCTACGAAGTAATGATGCGTTGCTGGGGAGAGAAGCCTGAAGACCGGCCAACTTTTGAATATTTGCAAAGTGTATTGGAAGACTTCTTTACAGCCACTGAATCTCAATACCAGCAACAACCTTAGCAGTGCCTCATGCCCTGATGGTGTAAACATTATTGGGGATTTAAAAACTCTGAAAATTATTCTCCCTGGAATTGGGTAGCATGAGACAGGGAAAAATTCAGATCACAGTTTGGTTGCCCAAATGCAAGGCAGCCTTAGAGTGGTCATTTTATCTGGAAGGATGATTGCCTGCAGCTCTGATATTGTTCCTCATTTCACCATGGGCATAGAGAAAGTCACTTTTTTCACTAAGGTAGGGCGTTTGAAATGTCCTCATATCTGCTCCAAACTCAGGTAGATATCTTCGCCAGGTCCGCAGTGGAAATTCCATTTCTAATAGATAAACAAGATTTCTGACACTTTTTTTTAATTCTTTCGTGGGATGTGGGTTTTGCTTGCTGGGCCAACATTTATTATCCATCCTTTAATTTCCTTTGAGGTGGTGAGCTGTCCTCTTCAATTGCTGCCATCCATTTAGTGGCCAAAGGTGTTCATTCAGTGGCCAAAAACAGTTCTGAGGGGACTCCTGGCCATTATCTCATTGATTGATTAATTTTATTAGGAGCACCAACTTAGACCCTTTTAAAAGATTTGTTTAGAACTCCATTCCATAGGTTTCATATAACAATATTCTATCAAACATAGTCAGAATGTTGATTAATTGCATGAAACATGTCTTGAGTTTAAAGCACATCCTGGTAAATATTTAGCTCCTTTTGCAGGTTATCCATTTGGTAAAGGGTGTGCTTCCAAGGATTTAGCACCCAAGTGTCTGACTTGGATTTTCCACATGAAGTACTTAACTTATGGCAATTACTTTAAGGGTCCAATAATTGTTCTATCATCCAATTGCTTTCAGTTATTGTCCCACTTTCAAACACAATAATTATACATACTGAAAGGAAACTCAAATTATTCAAAATATTCTATTATGTTCTGGTGACCCTGGGTCACCATTTTATTAACTTAATGTAGCAATCTTGATGAATGAAATCTTTTAACTGAAATATTTATGCTACATCATCTATTTTTTTTTAAGATTGTGCTTTTGAAAGAATTTTTATGATTTTCTTTTTGTTAACCTTTTAGAATTAGCTCATGTCTAAGAACAGGCTATTATGCATAGTATCCGCCCAGATTGTTCCCAAGCAGACCACTAGACAGAACAGCCTTTAAGCTCTCCAATACAGGCCCACAGTCAATAGGTTGGATAGAAGGAACAGAAATCTCTATTTGAAGTTGTGCTACCCCTTCTTAGAGTTGTGTACATTCTTCAATCACTGATATGGGCATTGCTAGTAAAGCCAGCATTTATCGCTCATTCCTTGAGAAGTTGGTGGTGAATTAGCTTTTGGAACCATTATTGGGTAGGGACACCCACTGTGCTGCTAGGAAGGGAGTTCCAGAATTTTGACCCAGCAAACATGAAGGAATGTTGTTATGGTTGAAAGTCAGGATGGTGTGTGACTTGGAAGGGAACATGCAGATGGTGGTGTTCCCATGCAAGTGCTGCCCTTGTCCTTCCAAATGCTCAAGGTGACAGGCCCAGAAAGTATTACCAAAGAAACCGCAGTGAGTTGCTTCATTGTATCTTGTAATGGTAGACACTGCTACCAATGTGTACTGGTGGTGGAAGGAGTGGAGGTTGAAGGTGGTGGAAGGAGTAGAGGTTGATGTAGTGGATGGAGTGCCAATCTAGTGGGCTGCTCCTTCCTGCATGGTATCAAGCTTCATGTATCTTTTAGTGCTGCACCCCTTCAGCTGAGTGAATTATTTCAGATTTAGCTTCTTGAAATGAAGCTTTTTCTCGACATGACCTAAAAGCTGAGTCCACCCTGATGATTAAGAATAATAGAAGCTTCCATTATATTGGGATTGAGAAGAATAATGTGACAATATTTTACAGGTAATGATGTTGAATTCCACACGAGACACAAAACTATTTTATCTTTTCCATGAAATAACGGTTTTGGCATTGCAGTGATATCTTTGGTTTTGATTCAGGTAAGGTGAAAGGGAATTAATTGGAGGAAAAATTCATGGACAGCAGGAAAATCAATTTGCTTGATATTCGAAATCTGTGCGCATTTGTGTTATGTGAAGTGAAACTGATACAGCCTTCTCTTCTTGGAAAAAGTATCTTCTATTTCCTCACAACAAAACGTCACTGTGATTGATATCAATAGATGAGGGGTACCCTCGGTGGCTCTGCTTTTCCAATTAATGGATGTTTCCTGAGAACCAGAGGTTTAACAGCTGAAATTGAGAGGAAAGCTTTTTTTTTAAACTTCATTGGGCTGATTGGATAACAGATTTGTGTTTTATTTTATATATTCACAGGATGAGGACATTGCTGGCTAGTCCAGCATTTATTGCCCATCCCTAATTGTCCAGAGGGTAGTTAAGAGTCAACCCATTGCTGCTGGCCTGGAGTCACATGTAGGCCATGGCAGTTTCCCTCCCTAAAGTACATTAGAACCACATGGGTTTTCACAACAATCGACAATTATTTCATTATTTTCATTAGACTCATAATTACAGATTTTAATTCAATTTAAATTCCACCATTTGCCATGGCGGGATTTGAACCCAGGTCCCCAGAACATTACCTGAGTCTCTGGATTAATAAAATCCAGAAGGACTGCAGATGCTGTAATTCAAGAACAGTTCTGAGGAAGGGTCACTGGACCCAAAATGTTAACTCTGATTTTTTTCTTCACAGATGCTGCCAGACCTACTGAGCTTTTCCAGCAACTTCTGTTTTTGCTCTGGATTATTAGTCGAGTGATAATACCACTCGCGCTTTCATCTCTTGTATAGTACAAATTTTTTAAAATGGAGTAAAATATTGAATTTCCGAGCACAAATCAAAATCATTGAATTGCTTTTTAAGGCAAAACATTATTCTTAATTTTGTGCAATTTATACATTCTGTAAAAATATACAGATACAGTTCATTTTGGGCCCGTGGTGATTTCATATCTTCTAAATATGTTGAAATCTTGTTTTTATTAATTCATTGATGAATAAAGTTTTGTATTCAATTTTGTGTTTGATTATTCGTTCATGATCCCATAACCTTAAAACATGTGGTAGTCACAGGTCACTTGCACTGACAGTGCTGTCTGTGGCAGGGTATTTCCTTTTACAAATGCTCAGCTGTTTCAAATATCAGGGACGGGGGGGGTCTCACTGGCTGGTGAGTTGGTGAGAACTCTGTGTCATTTCTTTTCCAAAGAAAAGAAAAATTCCCCTCACTTCCCTGCAGATCTTAAACCAATGGTTTTAATTCTGTGATCTTTGGTGAATGCCTCACTTACCACAGAATCCTTAGTGTGGAAGCAGGCCATTCAGCCCATTGCGTCCTCTCTGACCCATAGAAGAGCATTCCTCCCAGACCCCCACCCCCTACCTTATCCCTGTAATCCTGCATATCCCATGGCTAATCCATCTAGCCTGCATATCCCTGGGCACTATGGGCAATTTAGCATGGCTAACCTGCACCTCTTTGGACTGTGGGAAGAAGCCAGAGGAAACCCATGCAGACATGGGGAGGATGTGCAAACTCCACACAGACCTGAGGTTGGAATCGAACCCATGCCCCTGGTGCTGTGAGGCTCTGGGCCACCAATTTTTTTTCAACACACCAGATGGAATATTTCTCTCTCATGCAAGATCCAGAGTCTGCCTGAGAAATTAAAGCTGGACCTAACAATGGTCAGGGCATTGTGAACTCACTTAAAGGAACAGTTACAGCATCTTGACTGCAGTGAAGACTTGTCTTCCGAAAGCCATTGTGTGGCTGGAGAAAACGTGTGGTTATGAAAAACTGGACCATCAAGAAAAGTCAAAATCATTGGCTTCCCCCTCAATTTGAGGATGACATCTTCCCACATTTTGCTATAGATCATCATGTGACCAAACGGATCAACTTCCAACCCTCAGACTGTTGGGCCCAAGGGGCAGGACATCCCATGCGAGAATGAGATCCATAGAGCAGGATTTCCTTCCATTTTATTCCTTCTTTGCTGCTATTCAAATTCATTATTAAGATGTTTGGACTCAAAGCATGAAGCAGCTTGATGGACATGTTTTTGCCATTTTGAATAATTGGTAGAAAGTTCCTCCTGGTCATTAATGTCATTGCTGCGATTCTTCAAGGAGGGCTTCAGAGCATCTCTCAGAATTTACTTGGTTCTCCCTGGAACTCTGGCTATTTACAAGGTGAGAGAACATGACCTGGTCAGGGAGAGGTTTTCAGCCTCCCTGCCTAATATCCCAGTTCATCCTGGGAGTCATCAAAAAAAGTAATGATGTTTGAATAACAGCATTTTAAATGAAAAGACTCAAATAGATATATTGTGTCTCATGGACAACTAAAAGCAAAATACTGTGATACTGGAAATCTGAAACAAAGAATCCCTACAGTTTGGAAAAAGGCCATTCAGCCCTACAAGTCCACACTGACTCTCTAAAGAGCATCCCACCCTTATCCTCTTCTTGTAACCCTGCATTTCCCATGGCCAATCCACCTTTTGTTTTCTTTATTCATTAACAGGATGTGGCCATCATTGTCCAGGCGAGCATTTGTTGCCCATCCCTAACTGCCCAGAGATCAGTTCAGAGTCAACCACATTGCTGTGGGTTTGGAGTCACATGGAGGCCAGACCAGGTAAGGTTGGCAGATTCCTTCCCTAAAGGACATTATTGAACCAGATGGGAATATCCTGACAATCGTTTCATGGACAATTGAATCATTAGATTCTTAATTCCAGATATTTTTATTAAATTCAAATTCTACCATCTGCCTTAGCAGGATTCGACGCTAGGTCCCCAGAATGTTATCTGGATCTCTGGATTAACAGTCCAGTGATAATACCACTAGGCTATTGCCTCCCCGTCACATCTGTACATCTTTGGACTGTGGGAGGAAACCCACACAGACACAGGAAAAATGTGCAAACTCCACACAGAGGCTGGAATTGAACCCGGGTCCCTGGCATTATGAGGCAGCAGTGCTGCCCCAAAGACAGAGAATGCTGTAGAAACTCAGCAGTGGAGAGAAAATCACAGATATTATTTTGAGTCCAGTTTTGACTCTTCTTGATTCATCACACAACCAAGCTTGGACATTCTTAACGTCAAATAATACCATCAGAATTCTAACTAAACACTTCTGGTCTGGAACTTTAAACTACAATTCCTTCACTAAGGTTTCCTGATAGTTTTAAATTATCTCCTGATGAGTTGGACCAAAGGGTCTGTTTCCGTGCTGTATGACTCCATGACTCTATAAACTATTTCACACATCTGATTTCCATCAGGACCTTCCCTGAACTGAAACACAAAACCTTTCTGAGGTACTAATTTTCCACAAAGGAAAAAAATATTCCTTCTCCTTCAAAACTGGCCATAGCGGACAGGTCTCTGGCACTGAGCCTGGCCCAGTGGCACAGAAGGGAAGCGGGGAGAATAGGAGAGCAATTGTAGTGGGGGATTCAATAGTAAGAGGCACAGACAGGCGGTTCTGTGAACGCGAACGAGACGAACAGATGGTATGTTGCCTCCCAGGTGCCAGGGTCCATGATGTCTCAGATCGTGTCTTCAAGATCCTTAAGGGGGAGGGTGAGCAACCAGCCGTCATGGTACACATCGGTACCAATGACATAGGTAGAAAAAGGACTGAGAATGTGCAAAACGAGTACAGGGAGTTAGGTTGGAAGCTGAAGTCCAGGACAAACAGGGTAGTTATCTCTGGATTACTACCAGTGCCACGTGATAACGGGGTAAGAAATACAGAGAGAGTGCAGCTAAACATGTGGCTACAGGGCTGGTGTAGGAGGGAGGGCTTCCATTATGTGGATAATTGGAGCACATTCTGGGGAAGGTGGGACCTGTACAGTAAGGACGGGTTGCACCTGAACCGGACGGGCACAAATATCCTGGGATGGAGGTTTGTTCAAGCTATACTGGATGGTTTAAACTAGATTGGCAGGGGGTGGGGAACCAGATTTGTAATTTAGAGGATGAGGTATTCAGCCTTCCAACAGACACAACAGGGAGTGAGGTTGTTAATGAAGAAATGCGGTCAATGCAGCGTAATTGTGGACACAGAGATGGTTTGAAGTGTATATACTTCAATGCTAGAAATATCAGAAATAAGGCGGATGAACTTAGAGCATGGGTCAGTATTTGGAACTACAATGTTGTGGCCATTACAGAAACTTGGGTAACTCAGGGACAGGAATGGCTGTTGAAAGTTCTGGGATTTAGATGCTTTAAAAGAAATATGGAGGGTGGTAAAAAAGGCAGGGGAGTGGCATTGCCAGTCAGTGCTAGTATAGCAGCTACTGAAAGGCAGTTCGAGAATGATATATCCACAGATTCAGTTTGGGTTGAGGTCAGCAACAAGAAAGGAGCAGTCACTTTGTTGGGTTTTTTTTACAGACCCCCTGATAGTTGCAGAGATGTGGAGAAGCAGATTGGGAGGCAGATACTGGAAAGGTGCAGAAATCACAGGGTTGTAGTCATGGGTGACTTCAACTTTCCAAATATTTATTGGAAACTTTTTAGTTGTAATAGTTTAGATGGAGCAGATTTTGTCCAGTGAGTTCGGGAAGGATTCCTGACACAGTATGTAGATAGACCAACACGAGGAAAAGCCACTTTGGATTTGGTGCTTGGCAATGAACTGGGCCAAGTATTAGACCTGTTGGTAGGAGAGCATTTTGGCAGTAGCAATCATAACTCTATTACTTTTACAATAGTCATGGAAAAGGACAGGTACATACAGCAGGGTAAGGTTTATAATTGGGGGAAGGGTAATTATAATTCTGTTAGGCACGAACTGGATAACATAACATGGGAACAGATGCTGTCAGGGAAGAGCACTATAGAAATGTGGAGATTGTTTAAGGAATGCATACTGTGTGTGGTCAATATGTTTGTCACTAGCAGGCAGGGAAGATGCAGTCGAGTGAGGGAGCCTTGGTTCTCGAGAGAGGTCGAACGACTGGTTAAGAGGAAGAAGGATGCTTATATAAGGTTTAGGAAACAAGGAAAAGGCTTCGGAGGAATACAAGTTAGCCAGGAAGGAGCTGAAGAAAGGGCTTAGGAGAGCTATAAGGGGGCATAAGAAAACCTTGGCAGATAGGATCAAGGAAAACTCCAAGGCTTTTTACACGTACGTGAGGAATAGGAGAATGACCAGAGAAAGGGTAGGGCCGATCAAGGATTGTAAAGGGAATTTGTGCACGGAGCCTAAAGAGATAGGAGAGGTCCTTAATGAGTACTTTTCTTCAGTATTCACAACTGAGAAGGACCTAGTTGTAGGGGAGGACAGTGTGAAACAGGCTGGCAGGCTAGAGGAGGTGGATGTTAGTAAGGAAGCTGTACTAGGAATTTTGAGGAAATTGAAGATAGATAAGTCCCCCGGGCCTGATGGGGTTTATCCAAGGATTCTATGGGAAGCAAGGGAAGAGATGGCAGGACTTTTGGCGATGATCTTTTCGTCCTCACTGTCCACGGGTATAGTGCCGGAAGATTGGAGAGTGGCAAACGTCATTCCCTTGTTCAAAAAAGGGAATAGGGATAACCCCGGAAATTACAGGCCAGTTAGTCTTACTTCAGCAGTGGGCAAATTATTGGAAAGGCTTCTGAGAGATAGGATTTATGAAAGGCACAGTTTGATTCGTGATAGTCAGCATGGATTTGTGAAGGATAGATTATGCCTCACCAACCTTACTGAATTCTTTGAAGAGGTGACCAAACACGTGGATGGAGGTAGAGCAGTGGATGTGGTAAACATGGATTTAAGTAAGGCATTTGATAAGGTTCCCCATGGTAGGCTCATGCAGAAAGTAAGGAGGCATCGGATTGGGGGAAATGTGGCAGATTGGATTCAGAATTGGCTGACCCTTAGAAGACAAAGAGTGGTAGTGGACGGAAAATATTCAACATGGTGCTCAATTACAAGTGGTGTACCACAAGGATCTGTTCTGGGTCCTCTTCTATTTGTGATTTTTGTAAATGATTTGGATGTAGG